CACCCCCCCCCCCAAGAACATGTTTTAGGGGCCAATCTTGTAGCTCATTATAAAATATACTCTATAGTAGAGAGGAAACTAAAAATACCAACATCTCTATTTTGTTGTGAACTTGTATTTTATAAAAAAAAAACCAGTCAAACCATTTCATTTTTTCAGACCACTTAAAGTGTTTTTTACTTTCATAGATGATCTTTAATTCTTCTCTACAGTAATGTTTTGTCCCTTTTTAAAGTAGTGTCCTTTAATAATCAAAATAAATAATGAAAGAAAATCTTTGCATCACTGCTAGTGCAATCTATTCTTGTTCCCATATAACCCATTACCATCTAGCTGACACATGTCAATAAAATGTCACACTTTTGATGGAAAGATGAAAAAAATCTTAATTTACATTACTAATAATTTTATAGCAATCAATTCTTTCATGTCCTGAAACAGCTGTTAATTAGTCATTCATGAGTTTGAATTTGTAACAAGCAAAATCCTCAAATTAGCAACATATGGAAAACATGCAAATAGCTGTAAAATGACTTAGATGGTGATAAGTTAAACTTAAAATAGTGTCCTTTCCTAATCAAAATAAATAATGAAGAGAAATCTAGTATGCATCAGTTTTAGGTAATTTCCCAACATCATTTCTTGGATTCTTCCTTTGTCCCCTTCTTCATCACTCTCCGGCAACTGCTTCTCAACCTGGACCCTGCCAGCAGTTGGATTCCTTGTGCAAAAGGATCCGAGTTCCAAAGATGGATATTCATCATAGGATCAAAATCACTTATTGAAGATGAGTGGCGCAGGACCAGAAGTTGAACAGTGATCCTGTCAGCTGCCAGACAAGATCTCAAATTGGTCTTGATCATATTCATCTTGCTGAGATGGCTGGTATAGACAGCAATTGGTCAAAGAGGCCACAGATGTTAGATAGCTCCTCCTTAACCCTAGGGATGATAGCAGCCCATGGCTGGCCTGTTTTGCTATGCCTGGTGAAATTAAGTAATGAAATAGATGTGGAAAATGTATTGGTGAGCTCATCATGAGAATTGCATTATTACTCCTGTTTTTAAGTCATTATTTAGTGTTCATTTAAGGTTATTTTATATTGTGCAGAGTGTTACCATTAATTGGTTCGGCAGTCGGAATCAGGCTAATTATTGCATAATCGGGTGACAATCAGAATCAATATAATTTGTCGAATTTCCCAATCGTGAAAAATTGATTGCTGAGAAATTTAAAATAACACCACCCAGACCACTTTACTCACAACAACAATCTTCTGATTGGTAAGTATGCTCACAATCATGACACTGTACTTTTTGTTTTGACATAGAACATTATTCACCATTGAGTAAAATATCATCAGTTAAATAATTTGTTTCTCATTTATTTACATAAGTTGATATACTGAATGAAAGAAAAGTTAAAAAAAAACAACAACAATGCTCTTATAGCTCACCCATTTCTTTATGGACTGTATATTACCCAACAGTTGATAACAGCATCCTATGCACAGAGTTAATACACACTGTGTGCTTGCTGGAGATCTATGAGGTCTTTTCCTGCAAAGTGCTCAATGATATGTCATGTGGCTCCGTGTTAGTACAGCACTGTGTATTAGCTCATTGTTTGGAGATGTTGCCAAAGAGCAAGTGACAACAGAGTAATTGGAAATATGGAAGGTCTCATTACTTTCTAATAGGGGATTTTGTCAACTGTTTGAATTACATGTTTCACTATCGGAGATGTCACTGCAAGTTGAAAGTAGTAAACAGGTATATACACACATATTTACAAAATAACTAACCTATTAGACAGCTATGGAACATTCCATTTCATCATTTGACAGTCCTATTATTCATGAATATGCATGGTTCCAAAAAGTTGCCTTAAATTTAGTTGTGGCTCGACAAATGTGATTGCTGATTGGTTGGAATGCTTCTGAATGAAAAAACTAGATATTTTGGGTTTTTTTGAGTAGGAAGCAAATGATTGAGAAACAAGAATCATGAAGGTGGGCAATTGTCATAACAAACTGCCTGTTGCACCTGTAACTTATCAACAGTGAAAGCTAATATTTCATGATTTTAGGCAAATGTCAAAAGTTACACGGTGTAAGTGCTGAAATTTGAAACGCATTTGATGAAAGCTGGGAGGTGATAAATGTTAAATAATTCAACCAGCATGATGTGGGTTTTCTTTATCACAATGCATTGAAAGTTGTCATTTCTTTTTTTAAGGTTGGAAACTGATCATTACATACACAATAAAGATACAGTTAGGAGCATTTTTTTAATAAGGCCAATTTAAGAAACAAAACAATTTTCTGCAACTAAATTGAAGATTCCTCTCTTTACGAACAAAAACTTTCAAATGCTGTCACTATATTTGACCTTTGATTGGAATACTTCATTTAGTTTAAAAAGTGGTTTAGATCAAGATTTGTAGAGTGATACCAAAAGTCTTCTAACTTGTGGCTGAAGTGAATGATGAATTTAAGCAATGAACCTCAACAATTTGTTTGTCTCTCACAACAGTCACATAATGTTATGTATTGATCTTGTACTAGCCACAAGGTCAGTCCTCATTTTTATTTTTCACTCATTCGAATAAGAAATGGAAAGAGATCATGATTTTTTTTGGTTGTTTTTTTCATGGTAAGTTTACTGATAACTTCAATCATTTCAAATTTAATGAAGCTTCAAAGTACATTCTCTGTAGTTATAACAATTTTTAAGGTTAAACTGTTAACAATACTACACAGTGACATCGTCAACTTCACTTTACGTAATCAGCATTGGGCTGATTGTTGGCTATAATAATCTGCTATTGGTGATTTCCGATTGTCACACGATCGGTAAAACGGTAATATGTCCTTTTAATTTTTGGCTAGTGCATTCTGCAAAGCTGGATTCAAAAGTGTTGGCTCTAACATGCATCCATTTACAAACAATGTATGTGCAGTAAAGTAGATTCTCCAAACAACTTGGAAGTTTGCAATTTTTACTTGCCTGTTTTTGGAAAGTATTGACAAAAGAGATTGTATGTACACCTTGCAAATGTGTGAGCCTTGATGCAGGCTTGGCATCATATATAAAGAGTTTAAAAAGTAGCATTCCGATTTAAAACAGTAGTCATCATCATAAAAGTTCAAATAATCATTCTATATTTCAGACTTTGTAAATGAAATTTTATATATGAATTCCATTACACAGATACAAAAAAGTTCTAATATTGGACAAAGTGATAGTGTTCTTATTAAAGAAAGAGCATTTACTTTGAATGCACAGACATTCATAGTGACTGTTTGTGGATTGTACATGACTGACTAGTGTTTGTAAAGTTGGGAAGGTCCATTTATGGTTTATCATAAGTTCTGCTTGGTTAAGAAATGCTTAGATCAATTTATAAAGAGTCAATCTTTTAATAGCTCTTTTGCTTTTAAGGGCCCACTGGCATTTTTGAGGATCATTGTCTCTTGGGGCCCCTGCTAATTTCAAGCCATGAACAACTTTAGTACATACTTGGCTGAACTCCTATTTTTTGCTAATATTGGACAAAGCACTATAGGCCCACTTATTTGTAACAATGTTGATAGAACAAAATATTTTATATATGAAATTTAGAACACAAAACATTATCATGAAATACAGAATGTCATAAACTTATTTAACTGGCTTTTCTAACTAAGCAACAAATAAGTTAAATTCCATTAGCTGCTCAAAGCTCAACAGTAACAATTACACATGAATAATTTAAGGAGAACGGTATAGAAATGTGCCAACAAGTTATGATCTTTAACAGATTATTGTGCAGGACAAAGTTCTATTAGTTATAAATGTCTGTAAAATGATGCATGGTATAAATTCATTCAAAGCTGTGACAAGATAGGAAGAGTATCAATGTCACAAATTTGTTTACATCTCACTAATTTGTGAAGGTGGAAGATTTTTATATTATCTATCAGTTTACTTTGACGGCATTAGAAGGAAATGGAGAAAATTTAAAATAAGACTATCAGAAGGGAAGATGCATCACATGACACACAGAAGTCAAGATTAAAATTTTAGAATATTTCCCTTTGAAATAATAATTAAAACTTGCATAAAATTGTTCATTAAATTACATATTTATATCAGGTTTTACATAGTGATAATAAGGTTGATTAATTAACTTTTGAAGACAAAACTAAAATGGTTGTGACATGCACACTTTATAACCTATGATGTTCATACAACTTGCAAATACTGTACCACAAAAATCTTTACAATTGTTTTAAGATATAAATATAAAAAGTTCATACTTTCTTGGCATTGGTGAAAGAAAATAATTAGTTATACATATTTCTTATAAGAAAAATACTGCAAATAGAGTAAATAAATAAGTTTTGACATACTGACTTTGTTGGTTTTTAAAGTTTCAAATTTAACTGTTACTTGTAGAAAAAATGAGAAATGTTGAAGAACTAGAAGCTGATCTCAAGAAGCTTGTGTTTGGACAGAACAGAGAGGAAGAGCAAGGAAACAATGCTTTAAACAAACTGGTAAGATTTTGAAGTATTGTTATCTGTAAAACTTACTGTTTCTGCAGTTGTATTCTATACCGTATCATGTTGATTTTAATTTTAAACACCAAGTTAACAATATTCATCAACCCTCATTCAAGGTAAGTCAAAGTGCACGTTATTTTTTAGAGTTGCATTCAAAATTTAATTAAACTATTATCATTGTATACAAATAAACTTGGCATCAAAATGTAGGTTATAAACCAAATTTTAATATTTAACCAAGTTTTAAGTTCTTGATTTTAAATGAAATATTGTAAAAAATTCTCAATGTGAGAATTGATATTTGTTCTTGAAGTCATCCCTCTTCTGTAATTTATTTATCATGCCTCTGGAAAGTATGCAGTTTAAAGTACATTACTCATTATGATATAGATATTACTAAGGCAAGGCATAGTTTTTAGTCTTCAATCTTATTTGCAGAACCAGAAAGTAAAAAATCGAACCCACTTGCCACCCCTACTGATCACATTCTCTCGCAAATTGCCAATCAACACAAAGCCATAGTTTTAATCTATCAAATGACATTATATTACATTATTTTCTGTACAGAGTATTGTATATTTTCCCTCCAGTTTTAAAATTTCTCTTGTGGTATTCACATTGACAAGCTTAGCTGAATTTTTAAAGGCTCTTATCACACAGCTAGAAAGTCATATAAATTACGATTGTTATAGTCCATTTTTTGTTTTGTATTTGTTATCATTCAATATTCTTAGGTTAAGTATTTATTTAGATAAGAATTATTTAGTGTACAAGTACCATTAGTGTAAAAAAAAAAAAAGTAGGTTTAACTTTCATTGACAGTTGACAACAAATAAATGAGGACATAGGTAAATGTCATTTCTTGTTTTTCATGTAAATTCTTTTTTATTATTATAAAAGTAACTAAAATGAAAAAATTATAAAGTTACTAGGTAAGATTAAATAAGATAACCAAAAAAAAAAAATCTTCGTGAGGTATGCTTGTTAGAAGCTTGTGCATTATGTAATTCAGTACAGTAACATGAGCTACGTGTTTGCCAATTGATTAATAACTTGTGTGGTGGGATGATTAGTTGGTCTTGGGTCAAAAGGCAATAAAACAAAACTTAAGTATTAACAGATGTATACTGTTATGAACCTTAAGCTATTTAGGATTAAAAATTTCCTGTTACAAAAGAAGGAAAATGGTAATTTAGATTTATTTCATATTTTTTTAAGGTGGTTATGAGAGTCAGAGAAAATAAAAAGCTTCACTGTAAAAAAAGTTTGATATTTATTTAGGATGTTTTAGAAATTACACAAATAAAATTTGACAATTTTTAGGTGAAGAGAAGTATTTTTAATCTTATTTTGAAAACCACTTTGCACTTAGAGCAGTCAACACTGACTCCATATAATTATAGAAATTTTTAGTAAAACACAATTACAAAATCTGATTTTCTATATACAAAAGACTGTTTACATGAAACTTGCTAAATTTGGTGAAAATGGTCACTATGGGGTCACAAGGTTGATGCAGTGAGAGGGTTAATCATAAAGTTTGGACTAGTTAATGTATAGATTTTTAAGATTAATCATTGATGAATTGGTAATCATCTGGTTAGTTTGTTTCTGAAGAACTTTGAATTCATTGTTATACTTAATTCAAAAACAGAGTAACAGCAATGTTTCAGATTAATTATTTAGTTCATTAGATTCCTCACTAAATGTTGATTGTTATACTGTTTACAAAAAACTAAAAAGTGATAACTTGAAAATTAACTGATTATTGTTGTATTATTTCCAAAACATCTGAGAAATACTGATAAACCAAGATAATAAGCTTATTATTTTTGTATACTATGCAAATAATTAATTGGTATGCTCATTCTAACACAGTGTATTAGTCATCACATAGTTTCATATTTAGTATTGTGTTTGAACTTTTGTAGTTAAATCAGATAATACAAGACAGAGAATCACCCATAATGATGAACATTTCTCAGATGGAGAAAATGCAGGCTTGTGGAAGTGATTTATTGAGCAACTTGATGAGAGGGGATACTCCCACTCCCCCATTACTTCCTAATGTTACACCAGCGATAACACCGAGTCATATCCCATCTTCTACATCCCCACAGCTGCCTTTGGTGGAGTGTGGAGACTTGATGAGTCTCCTTAAGGGAGGAACCAGTCATTCAGACATGCAGAATGCTCAAGGTGGGTATTGGATTGAAATGTATAGATCTGTGGATCAGTAAGAAATTTTAAAGAATTAAATATGGTTTTGTGGACTGATAGTATTCATCAAGTTAAATTTTACAGCATTATAAATCATTAACAGGCTACTTTAGCATTAATTGTTTGAAGAGCAGTGAAGGATTATGTGGCTCACCCCTTCTCTGTAAGGCCTAAAGTGGCCTTGTTAGTTAGGTTGCATGACTCGCAATCTGTGGTTCTATGGGTAGCAACCTGGTACCTTACATGCTCTCCCTTTCAGCCATGGGTGTTATACTTTCACAGTCAATCCCACTACTTGTTGGTAAAAGAGTAGTCCAAGAGTTAGTGGTGGGTGCTGCTGGCCAGTTTCCCTCTTTCTGGTCAGTATATCAAAAGTATGGACTGCAGCAGATACTCTTAGTAATTTTGTCATAAATAAAACAAACAAATAACTCTCTTAATTAGTTTTTACTCTATGTTCATAAGTGGACTGAGGAAATTTCCATGGCCTTCCTACTCAATGGGCCTGATCACATGTATAATTATATTTGCAGTGTTTTTATGGTTTAATTGCATAAGGAGTATTCATGTTCAAAATATTGTTTCCTGTTTGACCTGTCTTTAATGTTGATTAATCATCAGTTACTTCTAAACTTGTATTTTAAAAGCCCAGGATGTGTCACTATAGCTCATAACATTTCGTGGCTCAAGTCTTTGGTGTTGCTTTTGCCACGAATATACTGGATATAAATAATTTAAAGAAAAAAATATACAAAAATATGTAGTTACTGTTTCAGGATATAGTTTTAGTATTGTTTAAAATCATCAGTAATTATCTATTTGTTTAGGATAAAGCTATTTCTCTTTCTCTGTCAAATATAATTGTTGGATTTGGATAGCAAAATTATTTACCTAACCAGGTTAATAAACGTGTATAATTTTTTCAACTATTTCACATAAGACGTTAGTGTTCATCTTATATTTAAGTTCCTAAGTAAGTAATTTGTTTATTTTTATGCTAAAAGTGTATTCTAAAATGTTTATATGTACAAAATCAAGATGTACAGGTAAGTAGAAAAGTGTGCTCTAACATTTTTCTTTTCATCATCAACAGTTTTTGAAAGGCATTTATTTACCATGTGACATGTTTAAGAATTGTGTTAACATTACTTTTCTATAGATGGAACACTAGTATATCTAAGGTTTAACATAGATTTTGTTGATAGGTAATTATTGCTTATCAAATGCTTAATACTGATATGCTATCTAAATCTGAATGGACAATTTCCAGTTGTAATTGCTTGATTTAAAAGTTTAGCTTCCAGAAATTACAGTATATATTTTTGTAGTTAAGTCTAAACTTGAGATGTGCCTTATAAATAACTATAAACTTAAGGTGTGCATACGTCATATATTATTATAAATCATACTACCCTTGTTGTGTATATAAATTTGTGTGTCTTAGAGACGTTTCTGAGTTTCTACATGAATATAAACTAGTGGCTAGACAAGAATTTTATGTGCTTTTGTAGCTATTAAATGTTACATAGCCAGTTTTAGTACCAAAACAAACTTTGAACTCACGGGTGTCCACACTTCAGCTTGTGAATTTCATCCCTGTGGAATCTGCTTTTAAGTCTGGTAATAAAATTTATTTTCACAGCCAACAAAGTATGACGGGAAACTTACCACCAAGGTATTCATATTAAGTGAAGAATTTAAACCTGAAATTTTTCCATGTGTAAAGGACAAATGTTTATCTTCATAAGTTACAATTTCTAAACAGTTTTTAGTATCAGTAAAGTAGGCAATATTAGGTATCATTACTAAGCCCATTTTCTTACATCATTCATAAAGTAGGGATAAAAAATCTAGCTTTTTATTATTATTATTATTACATTATAATACAGGGTGGTCCAAAATTACCTTTCCTATTTTAAAATGTAATAATTAAGTAATTAAAAAAATACAATCATTCAGTTTTCAACATATTGTAGCCCAACTCAAACATTTTTTATTATGTTTTTGTTTCACTCCAGTGAGTAGTGTTACCCTGTAAAATGGTAACTGTGCAAGAAAAGGCTGATTTATTTGGGTTGGCCAGTTCTGTGTTCACTAGTCTTTTTTTCTTTGGTTGGACGTTAAGGACATTGTGTATTGCACAACTTCAGCAAACATCATGGAGCTAATGATAAGGCTAATGGATGCCATCGTCATTGTTACTATGGACATGTTGCAGCAAATATGGACTAAAATTGAATATGCTACAGGTTAGACATGCCAAGAGCCACTAATGGTGCACACGTAGAAGTTTACCGACATGTCAATAAAAAGTTGGGCTGCATAATGTTGAAAACCACAGTTGTATTTCTTTAAGTATTTAATTATTAAATTTTAAAATAGATAAGATAATTTTGAACCATCCTGTATAGTTGGTGTTATTAAGCTTGACTTGTTACATTATAATAAAATAGGCTGTTTATTAGGGCTTCAGTTTTTTAAATGAAATTTGGCTTTTTTCATTGAGAAATTATTTGACATTCTTTATTTTCCTTTTACTAATACTTTCTGTTTTCTGTTCCAAAGTTAATTTCTTTGGGTTTTTTTTTTTTTTAATTAAAGCATAGAAAATTAAAGCAAACCAATATGGGAGCAACAGAAAATATTTCTGTTCCTTGTGTTACTTATTACTGCAAGGGCAAAAGGTGTTTAAAATGCAATAAGTGCAATTTGTGTGGTTGTTACCATGATGGTGTAGCTATTGAAATAATTTTCATGGAGAAAGGACAAGGAGTTTCCAAAAAATTTATTTAAAAAAACTAGAAGTAAAAAAAGAAAAATTTCTGCTACTGTTTCTATGAAAGCAAAATATAATGTCCTGAATCTTGTAGACAATGATTTGAGATGTTAATATTGAAAGTTTTACCCCCTTTTATAAAAATTATGGCAAACTTATTTACATTGAACATGCTTTTGAATGGACACACACATAGGATTGTAGTATGTTCTCGCAAAAGTGTCATTAGAAAAACCCTCATCAGCTAGTATTCAGGAAGAACGTTTGATAAAATGTCTGGAAACATATAATTACAGTGAATTCAAAATCCTACCAGAAATAGGATGGTTGTTGGATCTATAGAAGAAGGGGAAGGACCTGAGGACACAGACTACCAGGAACTGAAGGAGAAATATAATAGATTTTAAATTTTAAGATGATAATTATCTATATACTTGATACTGAACCAAGAATAAAGCTTCAGTTTGTCTTACAGAAATTCAAAGAAAATTTCAGTGTCCAATGGTAGATGGATGACCAACTGATTAACAAGTGAAATGTAACTAATTTGAAAATAGCCAAGAAACGAATAACGATATATGTTTGGAAGTTGTATCAAAATCAGTTTCATATTGTGCTGTTTATGGAATCTTTAGACCCAAGTTTAAATAATACAATAATCAAAAGTTAAAAATGAATATTACTTGCTCTGACAATGTGAAAAATATAACACCATATTTAGTTTTTTTTACCTTATTAAGTTATGAATGCAGAGTTAAAACGTTTATGAACTTGTTTGGGAGCTTACTGATACAAAATATTTTGTATCATAATTGCTATTTACTACAATAGTTAAGATCTATTTTGAATTTACTGTGTTAATACTACAGGTAATTGTAAGTATATTATTTAAATAACAGTAATGTTGTTTAGGGGTAGATTATAATTTATTGGCACAAGCTGAAAGTTTAAGATATTTATGGGCATAAACTGTGTGCTACAAGTCCAACGGCTTGTTTGTGTGTACTTGGTATATTTATGTATGAGGGAGTAAATACATTTATAAAAACTTGTGCATTTTTGTATTCATGATTTGACATCATTACTTGTAATATAATAATTGGTGTTATTATATGGACATTCATTTAAATATTTGGGTTTCTGAAACATGAACACTACTATTCCAGCTTTAATTGATGAGAAACAGCAGACAGAGTTTCTGTCAAGTTTACAAAAAAATCCTCCTCAGCAGCAGCCTCAAAGGTCTCATGTACAGAGCCTTGAAATTCCAACAGTGTCCAGTGGACTTGGTCCAGATCAGTCTTCTTTACCATATACAGGCCAGGGCCACATTTCTCCTATTGGTAAGCTGTTTTTCTTTTTAACCCAAGTTTTGCCTATAGGCTTGTTTCAGTCAATTAGTAATTTTGAGAAGTGGTGAACTTTTAGTTCTTGATGACATCCTAGTAATGAAATGGGTTAAATAGTCTTGTTGTATAATTTTTTCACATAATCCGTAGTAGTAGTTTATATTTAAATTTCACATGAATAAAAAGAAAACCATTTTACACTAGGATTTGTATTAACACCAATAACTTTGTCCTAAAACTCTAAGGATATTGTAACTTATCAATTTCTGTCACATGTTTATTTCCATCCCTTCAGTATTTGGGCAGCAGCCACCTTTGAGTCATGCTCCAGCTCCCATCCATCCACCACAGTTATCTCGGAACACGAGCACCCTACTAGTGCAGGTAAAAATATTGATGCTTTTAATGTCTTTCAAAATAAAAAATAAACTACCTTTCAGGTTCATGTAAAGTTCTTATTCATTTCTTAATTTATATTTGGCCATTTAATAATGTTTCTACTATAGTTTTAGAATATAAGAAAAGCATATACAAAAGTTTTTTATTGATGGAATTTGTTTGTCCTTGGGTTTTTTTATGGTTGGGAAAGGGCTTAAGTTTCTTGTTTATATCTGTTTTAGTTTGTTACACATGGTGCAGGTCATATAATCAGTTCTTGTCTTAGTTTAAACGGTTGATGAGGTTCAAATAACTAGTTCTTGTGGTAAGTTGAAGCATTTGACAAAGTTCAAGTAGGTATTTTTATATATTTTTTTTTAAACATCTGTTAAGGTTAATATGTATTTTTTATTTTATAAGTAGCATGAAAATGAATCCATACAAAGTTCTCAGCAAACAAATCAATTTTAAGCTCTTCTCCACTTCCTTCAAGGAGAATGGTTATGTGGTTAAACATGTACCTGTTTACAAACTTTCAGTCTGTGCCTGATGATGCTTTTACTAGCAAAACCATATTGGTATTAAATATTTCTAAAATGTAAAGTTGTCTTTGTTTTCCCTCAGTTCTGTTAGTTTGAAACACTTGGTAAGGTACTCATGCTTCTTGCAATTGTTAAAAAAAATGCTTTTTGTGTTTGGTCTAAGCCAGCATTTCCCAAACTTTTGTCACACACTTTAATAAATATGGTCTTTTGCGTGCCCTCAGTCTTTTAACCCGTTACCTGCCGTGGCCATTTTGTATTATCGTGAGGGCAAAATCACTTTTATGAAATGAAAAAAATTATAGAGAACTTATCTTTTATTGGATTTCATATCTTATTTTTGTAAATAGTAACATAAAATTCAATTATTTGTCCTAAATTGTATTAATGAAGTTTGAAGAGAAGTTTAATAAAAAAAATTAAATAAATACATTTGAGACTATAAATAAGTACCCTCTATAAAAACCTTTCTTCAACATTTAAAAAGATTTTTCCTTGTACTTTAGCGCTGGTCCTGTCATGTATGATTGGTATCTAAACCCTTTTCTAGTCTGTTTTCTTTATAAAACAGCATCTGGACGTGTTAACCTCAGTTGTAAAACTTTTAGCCAATCCTAGTTGAATGTGTCCATTTCAGTACTTTGTTGTTCCAATTGATGTGTTTCACGTTTGATAAATTGTAGGATGATAAGCAAACCACATGACAAAAAGTTCTTCTCTGGATTTTGCAATATGAACATGGGTGATGCTTATTATAGTAACTGCCAGTTTATATAGAGGTTGTATTTAATAGTGGTCAATAGTACTTTTTTTCTTTTTATACAAGTCTTAGAAACTTTGCTTCTGGGAAAAACTGCATGGGATGTATGTGACTTTTATTATTTTTCTATAGTATCTTAAATCATGTTATATTGTATATTTATTTATATTAATCATTATATTGGAAAATGGACTCAAAAATATATATATTTTTAGGAAAGAAGTTAGGGTTAAGATCTATCGAGTGGAGAGTGCATGGTCTTTACGTGAATTAGGCTTAGCACTTTGAACTGAAACTTTGATTTTTATATTCTTTTGCATTTAAATTAGTAGTTTTAAGTTCAGATGTTTAGCGTAATTTTATATTTAGTTCATGATAAAATATTATTCAGTATTTAGAATAACCTTGTGTGATTTTTTTACGTACTACAAGTACCACGTAAGATTTTTATATTTTTACTTCTTACTATCTTTGCTTTGTAGTAAGACCCACACTTCTGTTGTTGTTGCTTTATAATTAAAACAGTAACTGATACATAAAAAGCTTATTCTGATATTTTGCAAATGGTTTAAAACTCGGTGTACAAGTGACAACAATAAAAACCATATGTTGGTTGTGAAACAGACTAAACACTTTCGTCTCAATAATACAGGGGAAGCTGTGACATTCTCACAGTTGGGGTGTTAATACACTGAAGAACTTAAGTTTTGAATTCCAATATAAATCTTGCCTATAATGAGAGGAATATGACCAGAACTAATCTTTTAAGTGCTGTAAAGTAATCTCTTGTAACAGGATGTATCGTGTAACTCTGGTCAGGTGGTATTATTCAAACCATCTGTACTGTAAACTATTACATACATTCACTAGTAGTGGCAATTAGTTTTGTCTCCATAGTGAAACAACATACAAGGA